TCGCCGTGAGATTTAAATCCGGTTTTCGATCGTCGCGTCGGAAACTCGCCGCACGGTGGCTTAAACGGCGGAACTTAGGAATCGGATCGATCCGCGAGAAACGTGCTCTCATTATCGCATAGTTACTCCCACCCTTTATTTCTGTTTGACGTAGGGAAGAATATCTATTGTCCGCGGTGCATCATGCGAGGAGCGCCTCGCGCCCTTCCGAAAATGGAGACATCAAACAGACAAGACGTCGTAAGGATGTAAATTCTCCTGGGCTAAATATAGCCCGCCTCCATCGCGAAATCTCCGTTCATAAATAATAGCGTCCTCCTTTTAATGTTGCGACCCACTTTTCCAATTTTACGACGTTCTCGCAATTTCCCTGAAATACCTGAAATAAATCGCGCATTCCGTGAAAGAGCCTGCACACACGTAATTCTTTGATCGTGGAAAATCGAAAATAAATACTAGATGAAAAATTTACGGATTTCGATTGTGCCGCGACACGCTAAAAATTTATACGTCGCGGAATTTAAATGAGCGCGATTCTCATGAATCGCAGGAAAAGTCGCCGCGGCGCGACCGCTGCAATTTTTGCGAATCCTCGGATACGACTTCGAGCGCAAAAAGTTCTCCCGATTGCGACGGTTGCGTGAAATTCGATCCGCGCAAAAAGATCTCCGCGAGGCCGGGATGATTTTTGCGAATTAACGAGGTCCCGATGTATCGGCTTTTCGCTCGTCGTTCCCGCGGAATGCAATTAAATCGAAAGAGAGCCCGCGGCCTTCCCCGCGATATCGCGATAATACGCGACGATATTCGTGCCCGCGACCCTGTCCTCCTCCCGCCGCGATTTTAACGCGAATTTCGCTACAATAAAACGAGTGAACGGTCCCGGCTTGTGACGATGTGTAACGCGTTTTTTCTCTTCTTTCCTCTTTTTTTTTTCCACACCAATGTTAACCCGCCAAACGCGCGGAACGCAGATGATGCACGTCCTCGCGTTTCCCTCGTCGTCGCCGTACACTTTCTTTATGGAAATCGATATCTATAATTATTTCATCACTCGCTCTGTGCATAGTATTACGCTCGCATTATGGGACTCTACAGACTCGGTTGGACGATGATTGCTAACAACAAAAGTAGTGCATCAAAGTGGTCGTGTCGTATAATTAAATATCCCATCATTTTATTAAAATAAAAAGCTCGGCGTATTTTTTACGCGAAGCTGTTTAACTAAATAAAAAGATAAACTAAAAAAGGAAAAGATAAGTCTCTATAGTTTCAATTGTTTCAAATAGTGACAAAAATTCTACGGTGCGTAATTGAGAAGTTTGTGTTTTTAACATGTTTCACGAGTCCCAAACGGTCCACTCAAATTTTTGCGTTAATTTAACACTAGAGATATCAACGTTTCATTAAAAGGACTAAGTGGATAAATCACTATGAATAAAAAAATTAAAATAGTAACGGAAAACCAAATTTCGTTATATAATGTAAAGTATTGTAAAGACATGATTATTGAAAAGTCAAAGAATTTTTAAATTATCTGTGACATGAAAAATAATGTAATGTTAATCCTGTCTTTTAGATGAGAAATAATATTAAAAAATCGCAATAATTATCTCGGCCAATAATTACCTCGGTTCTTCTAGTATTATTATAAGATGAATATGTTAGGAAACACAAATATTATATTAAAAAATAACATCGAAAATATAACACTGACAATTTTTAAGCAAATCGTGAAAGTATATTTTTTCAGAAAATTTAATATTTACAATATTAAAACGTTACAGTAAAATGAATATTTATGATATGTTAAATTAACACATTTTATTCATTTATCTCAGAATTTACGTTTTAAAATGTATTATTTTTACATTAATTATTTATTTATTCATAAATTGCATTATTTTAAAACTTAGAAATGTTGAATATCAATTTAACACAAAATGTTCGAATAATGCTATCATATTATATTAAATTAATACTTGGATATATTCAACACAAAAAATTTTCACGAAGATCGAGTTTCTAACAGAAATTCAAAAGATTTTTTTACTTTGTTCGATTATGAACACATTGAAATGTTGCTTCTTATATGTACTACATTTTTCATGCTACGTTTAAGGAAAAGCTATTACTTTTAGTAATTTGGTAATTATAATAATTTCATTGAAATTAAGGATAAATAAAATATAAAATACTGAACAAATTATCGATCTGTCCAAGGTTTAACTGAGACTTACATACATCTTCTGTAATCAAATAATTCTCGAGTGTATTGAGACGCGTTTCACGGATCTCCTTCCTGGTTGATATTACTTATTAGTGATTGCTACAAACATTTATAGATCATAGACGTCAGATCGGACATGAAAGTGGAGATATGCTGTTCCGTGTAATTAACACAAACGATATACAGGCGTACTCATTGGCGTAACTGGAGCAGCGTGTATACATGTAATACATGGGCGTCGATACATCAGAGAGATGTCAAAGTCTCCTTCCTCTCTTCATCCCCTCCATCTCTCTCTGTAATTTTCAGAGCCTTTAATAATCACTTTGGAGATGCGTAAGTATAAACAGTTCCATCAGAGTGAAAGAAAAAAGGAATGACAGCGTCACCGAGAGGGATTACACGTTTTGAGTGATTAAAGAAAATTTTATTTGACTTGTTATCTTGTGATTTATTTCATTGAAGTTTTATGTAATATTTTATAAAATGACCTAAATAAAAATTGTGTAGCTTACAAATAATTCTGTAAATTTGTTTTTATCTTTCGGTAAATAACAATAGTCGTATAAATATAAAAAAACGTAAGAATTCGTTTAAGTAAATCTAAACGAGGAAATATGAGAAAAACAAAAAAAATAGGAAAAAAATTGTACATTTCAGGTGAAAAGGAGTTTCTCGGTTAAGGAGGATTTCTTTATTAATATAATATATATTTTTATTTCCTGCTGATCATTAAACATAATTTGAGTTACGTAATTCAATGTAATGAATCTTTTTTACGCGAACATAATTTACGATCTAAGAAGAAGTATCGTTTCCTCGTAATTTGATAGAATTTACGTGATGTACGATAATAGTCGATCGTTATTATTAGTAGATTCGTCTAGCTTTCACATTAATATTTCACGTCTATCCAAATATCCTAATTTTATTTAATTTCATTTTATCGCCTTATACTATCTTTAATAACATTTATTTCTGAAAGTACAAATAGCATTTCCTTAACCAATGTATAACGATTAAATATATTAATATCATTTTTATATCAGTGCAAATTAATAAAGATAACTTTTTTTAATTAATACACATTAACATACAGTATGCATCATTTTTATTTTTATACAACTTAATAAGTTATAATATAATAGAAAAGTATAATAAAAAAATATTCATTATGTAATAAATATTTATATAATTAATATATATTTGTTCAAATGTTTAAGTCAGCATTTAAATCAATATCATTAAGTAAAATCAATACTTGCGTTCGTAATCAATGCTTCCAAGTATTTTGACATTTAGATCAAAGAAAACTAAAAAAACTAAAAAACTTTGCGCGTGTAAAAGTTTCAAGGAGGACTTTTGCGCAATCGTCCGTTATCTGTCTGACGAAAAAACATTGATGTCTCTTTCTCTTCTCTCTGTCTTTCCTTTTAATAATGCCAGTCAGTGGCTAACATATGATCCTATATAAGACGACAGAACCGAGTCACGTATAGCGCACTTATAGGGTAGTCAAACGGGGAATCCCCTTCGAATCCTCCTCCCCCCTTCCTTCCCGCAATGGAGGATGGGGGTAGCCCCCACAGTAGGAGCTCACCTGCCGCCAGGTGCGACTCCCGTCTTGTTCGCCATCTGCATGAGGGGCCCGTGCCATGCGCGGGGGCCGTTTCCTCTTTACTTACCTCGTGTGAGAGCGTGATTAGCACACGCACACACGTATTATACACGGGGAACCGTAAACTTAGCACGCGACCACATTCGTGGACATACGTCACGGGGGAGCGTATCAGCTAACCGAGTATGGGGTTTTACCTTGGTCAAGTCTAATGGAAGCCTTTCGCTCGAGTTGAAAGTATTGTACAATAGAAAGAATGATTTCATGAGTTTATCTAAAAATTTAGCTGATTACTGATCTATAAATATCATAATGATGACTGTCAAAATTTATTTATATTTAATATACTATACGTTTCTCACGTTATAAAGATTTATAATTTTGTTATATAATTTTTTTAATAAATAAAGTATATACTGGATTATCAAAGTAATGTAAGACCTTCAAACATAAGCGATGCTAAAAAAAGTTTTGATATTTTGGCAACTAACTTGAGCGTTCTGTATAATTATTTTAGTAGTCTAAATTATTTTTAGATGTGGCTAAATTTTTGGATACTTTGATGAAATCGTTCTTTTAATATAAATAACATTTAATTAAAAAGCAATAAGATTCCAATGAATCATTTAGTTTTAAGAGCATAATTTAGAAATAGATTGGTTTTATCAATAAGTAGCATCTAAAAATATAGTTATGTAACTTACTAAAATGGAACTGGTTTATTATATAAATAATTATTATATAAATAATTTTCGATTTGTTCTAAAAGTTAATAATTTTTATTTAAAGAAAAGAAAATAAATTGAAATAATACAATTAATCACAGAATACAAGTAAAATTTTCGCGTTCATTTTTAAGTCATTTAGTTATAAAATGTTTTAACATTATAATAGTAATTGTTATGTATTAATAATGATAAAATATTGAACATCCTTCTTTCTATACCTTTCATATTTTATTTTATTAGTTTATATTTTTATCTGTACATTCATACGAGGATTAATTCCTTTTATTTGCCAAATATTCGATAGATTGAATGACATATAATATCGAGATAGAACCAATATTGTTAACCATATAATGTTGCAAAATTATTGCGCTTCCGTTCAACTGTGAAATATTCTATGAATTATGATTAAATGTACAGTGCGTTTTACTCTTATCACATTTTATTAGTTTGTATATTTGCACACAGGGACTTTTTTATAACAAATTCTTTGTCGATTGTTTTCGTTACATAATCTGTCATATAATTAAATCAGCTTTCGAACTTTGCTCGCTTCAATCATATTCAGCTCCGATGGTAATGCTCATATCATCAGAAATGATTTTCGTTTGGTGGTACCATCGATTCGTATCCAAGACAACTGCAATTGAAAATTACAATTATCAGAGCAATGCAAAAAAAAATTGAAAACGCAATATAAAGTATAATAAAAGTAATATGAAAAGTAAATTTTATTGTAGTTATCACAATTATTTCTGAAATATTTCTCCTGAAGTTTCTTTACACATTTTCGAGAAAAATTTCAATCAATGATTTTATTTTAAACACTGTTAAATGAAATAATTCTTTTGCTCCAATTCGAGGATATAAACGATATCCGCATGCCCTGCATTTCAGCGTTAAACGTGAGCGAGCAATACCCAATTCGGAAACATTAAATGCAACTATCGATCAAAAGACCACATTTAACGCTAAACAAGGAAAGTAATTAATTTTGCAATTAATTCGATCATTGTTTATTGGCATATATTGCGTGGCTCTCACTTATCTCTCCGGTATGTACAATCACTTCCAGCCTCTTGCATGTGTAGTGACACTCTCTCGGCGGATCTAAAATCCACAATTTTTCACCCTTTATCTGCGCCTGCCAGGAAGGATAATCCACATCGTCCACCTTGGAAAAATTTCATATTTTCAAAATATACGATTAATGATAGTCGTCCATATACTTAAACACAAGCGTATACTTCAACATTGAATATATTTACATATAAATAATATATTTATGTATAAATACAAATATGGTTAGGAAATATATTTTAAAGTTAAAGAAAGAAAGAGAAAAGAGTTAAAGAGATTGAATATGTAACTAATTTTGATTAAATAAAATGCAACATTTTCGCAAATATGTATTATTTTACATGTATATATTTATTTAAAAATATAACATAAGATTAATAATAAATCTTTATTGTAATGTACTGTGTATTTAATGTCAATTAATAATTTTGAGCCAGTCTTTTAAAGAATGTTGTTATACAATTGTAATACAATTATTATTTCGTATAAAACTCATATAATTTTGAATAAAACCTACGTGCATCGGTGCGCCATAGCCATTACTTCCCATGAAAATCCAATCCGTTTTCTTGCTTTCGGCAGTGGCGGGAAGAAAATACGGTCTCTGATAATGCTCCCTCAATATTACGCCAATTTTCTCGTCGCAATTGCTCCTAAGAGGAAAAAAAGAGTGAGAAAGCATTATAAGAAAAACAAACTGAAAGAGGAAAAACTAAGATATTATTTTTTCTTCTTTGATAATTTTATCAAAAATACGAAACTCATCGATTGATCTCATCGAGATCGATAATTTCTCAACATCGGTATGACATTGGAAATGTAATTTTTTTTCGTAAGCCTGTTAGCGAAATCGTACATCAACATTAATGATTCGAAGAACTGTCGGAAGCCGTGAAAATACTCGCAGATTAGTATATGTAAACTCACAAGATACGTAAGTCCGTAAACTTAATTCTTCAGTTTTGTCTTTTTTCTCGTGTTTGTAAAAAAACATATACATAATTTTAAATTTTAATACAATAACTCTTTTATTCTTCATTTTTAAGTATTTCAGATAACAGGTAAAAGTAATTAATTTTATTTCGTCTGGAAACCCTCAGAAGCTCTCTAAATGAAAAATAAGAATAAAGAACTCCTTATTAATTGCAACGTCGTCAGTTAAGTACAGGTTTTTAAATACCATTTATTTTCTAATATTATTTCTTCTCAATCTAATATTATATTAATCGACGTGGTAGACTCCGGACATAAGATAATGATACCGAAGAAATTGTCATTGATAAAACAGTTCCCGTCTTTGTCATTTATAATAACCGAGAGAAGGAATAATATCGGTATAAAAATCGAGATATATCTTTAATTATTTTCTAATAATTTCTCCTTCATCTAATATTCCATTAATCGAACAGTGTATTAGACATAAAGAAATAATATTGCGAAAATTATCATTAACAAAATGCTTTTCTCTTTACCTATTTATTACAATTAGGAAGGAAAAAGAAAGATATAAATAAATTTAATAATATCAATCGACATAGAATAAAACGGAGACAAGTTAATAATACTAATAGAATTGCCATTTTAGTGAAATAATTCGCTTTTCACTTTTTTCAATTACAACAATCAAGGGAGAATAAAAGACCGACGCTTTATTTAGAGCGTAGTAAAATTTAAATATTAATAGCGCAGAGGAAAATATATATGTTGCACGGATAAACATTGTTTTCCCTCAAAAATATTGTCCCGCGCGCTACTGCATATTTTGCAAGTTTACGCAAATTCCGATTGCCTGAACGTAGCCGCGCGCCTGTGTTTTGTTTTGATTCGCTCGTCCTCGTCGCGCTTATGCCCCTCTCCGCACCTAACTTCAGAGCAGTCGGAGCGTTGGCACAATTGCGGTGTGCGCGCGTCTTTCTCTCTCTTTCTTGCGCCAAAGTCGTGTCGAACACGAATCGGGAATTTAGCAACCGGCCAGTTAATTGCGTGTGCGCGTCAATTACCATATATCGTCGCGATCGATGGTTCCGTCAATAGATATGTACGTATATATTCGCGAACGACGTGTTTATGGCCGTTTAACCCCGAAGCTTGCCGCCCGTTTCGGAATCGTCCGGATTCCGACCTTCCGACCGATTGATCCATTTACTGGAGCACAAATTTCTCAACGAACCTTCCGGTCGATCGAAACGATAATTGATCATTGAGTGATCGCGTAGTGATAGTGTCCAGTGAAAATTTTCCGAGGACCTCGTGACGATCTTGAAGAGAAGTTACGTCCCGTCGTAGCATCAGTGTGAAGTTGTCATAGGATTGCAATAGTTAGATTTATTTTAGAAAACTCTCGGGCTAAACAATTAGGCATCTTATTAATCATTATTTTAAGTTTTATAATAGCTAAAAAATTAGTTTATGGCAATTACTGTATGTTTGTTTCAAGAACTTTTTAAATTTATGTATAATATCGGTAACTAATAAATAATAATACAGATAAAAGAATTCTAGATGATTGAAAAAAATATAAATGCTTATTATTTTTTATCAGAGCTGTATATTTTGATATATATTTTACACATGCGAAATGTATATTAAAATATAAACATCGAAACACATGATATATAAAATTATAATTGGAACTGTAGCCAGAAATCTGAATTGCAAAGTGAGCTTAGTATCGTCGTGAAGGATTATTTCGATCATCGATATATTCGTGATTTATTCAAGAAATATTAGACAATCATCGCAGTATATCTTGACAGTTCTATCAAGTGAACTCCGTGCGACTGTAGCATCATTCGTACAATTGAATTTCTACAATCGATCATCTTCGGGTTAAGGTTAACCTCGATAATAATCGGTAAGTGATTGCAATTTTTACATTTGCTACGATTATTGAGCGTAGTTGATCTATTGAGCAAAACTGCGAAATTAATATTATAATTAATTATGATGTGATATTAAAAATTTTTGTCTTGTCTCTCATATTTAAGTTACGAAATTAAATCTACTTTAGACGATTTATAACATAATTTGTTTCATATTTTGAAATAACATTTTATTTATCCTAAAATTTAGATTTATTTATTTATAATTTTACGTGCTCTGTAGTGCAACAAATATTTCAAAAATGAGAAAATACGTTTATTATAAAATACACGTGTTGAATATATTTTATATATATTTTATATATTTTATATATAAATTAAATTTTTATATAAAATATTTAAAATATATAAAATACATATAAATTCATGTTTTTGTTTCACATATGGTATCAGTTCGATCATCTGACACCATTGGCATTGTTTCAAGCCTCTGGGTGTCTTAATATTTATCAGTGTTTCATTCTACACTTGTGCTTCATTCTACACTTGTGTTCGATGTTTAATGTTCTTCATTATTATTTTTCATCGTATCTTTGAAACAAATCTGCATCTAAACCAAGAGAATTTCGATTCTCATTTTCATTCCGATACAGCTCCTACCACATTCCTTATTCCGAAAAAATTCGTTTTCATTCCTTATTCTCCTTCATCGCACATTTAAATATCAAGACACTTTTTTTTTCACACAGGTGTAAAAGGTACTTCAATCTTTTACCTAATGGTATCCATTCCTCTTCCTGTCTTTCCTCCTTCCAAATTGCTTCTATCTATATCGCATTACATTTTTTAAGTTTTTGTATTACTTAACATGTGTACTTTACGTCTAATTTCGTTTCTCGTTGTAACTCTAAACGTAATTTATACTGTGCGTGTCTATTATAAGTACTAGCTCTGTCCCTCTTTCCTCTACTTTTGCATTCTTGATGTAAACATATTTATGCATATCTATTTTCATTTTTATTCTATATTTAGGCGTTAAATATAGAAAAGTTGCTAAAGTTAGTCCAAAAAGCAGCAATTATTGCTAATGCCGCAGAACCTCTTTTGAGGTTTAATTTACTACGTTTGTATTATATGTTCCTATAAATATTGTTATAGCATTGTATCTCAAAAAGCTATTATTATTATTATTAAAATATGTATTAAATATATATTTCAAAATAATCAAGATAAAGTCATAAATACAATTTTGCGACGCGATTAAAGATTATCTAAACTTGGGCTTCCATTGTTAAATATCATATAAAACGAACAGTATCAGCAATGTCGAGAAAAGTATCGGGCGATCATCATCACATTGTATGTAATACAGTTGGCGGATTTCGGCAATATTGAGGTCCTACGCTACACCTAATTAAAAATTCACTGTTACGGGAGCGTAAAGAATAAACGGGCATTATCATGTCGCGTTAATTAGCCGTAATTTTATTAGACCCTACTCGTTAATTAAATTCGTCGAAATGTCAAACTACCGCGAGTGTCGAGCGATTGTTTAGAGATTGTTGCAAAAAGCAACGAGCGCTAGTGTCGTCACGTTAATTAAGTACATACGTGCTGGTCCGAAAAAAATAGCAATCGCGATCGGCGAGCAGATTCATTTATTACCGGCTCGTACATGAGTTGTTTGTTTAATTTGCCCGTGATGATTCGATGCGCCGTCGCACGATAATAATTGGCGACTCGCTTTGGCATTCGTCTCGCATTCGCCTCTCGGTGAACTGAACAACGGAAAAATGACAATTACGAATTGTCCGAGTAAAATGTTATTTATTCGTCGTCCGCACGGCAATTTTTAATTGATATTCTATATTTTCGATAATTATGCTTGCACAGAACGCGCTCTGCGGAGGAATGCGGCAGCAGTGCGTCGATCGGTGTGTGTATTCCATATTTTACATTTGCGCGACTGATTTATTTCGTTCGCGATTATTTTAATGTTGTTGCGAACGGTTTTCCGATAATGAAATTAATAATTGTTATGAAATTGCTTAAAAATGACAAGCGTTCGTTTATATCGATCATAACATGCTCATAAAAAATTAATTATTAATTCACTATCAATTTGAAAAAATTGTTACTTAAATTTCGTTTAATAGTTCCCACTTTTATTATTCTTTATTCTTTAAGAAATATCTTTTAAGAAAATTTTATTAACATACTGATTTTACATTGGAAAATCACATCGTCATATTTATTCTATTAAACTTTATCTTCGCATGGAAGGCAAATGAAAATTAAATGAGGGCGTTTATTGGATTCATAATTTTCGAAGTCTTATATATAGTAATAAATGATTTCGATAATTATGAATTGAGAATGAAAGACAATTATTGAGGTCTGTCTAAAGATTATCTATATGGAATGGGATTGATGAAGTATCTAAAAAATTTAATTATAAAAAATTATATTATATCACCAGTATTATTTTAATTGTAAATAATTAATTTAATAACACTATTAATGAGACAAATATGTTATACTCTTGTTTTAATAAAACTTTATTCATTCAATAACACTTATTAATAAATATATCATTGTCTTTGTTTTAATAAAATTTGTAATTAAAATAATGATGTTGATAACGTCATTTTTTTATAGATTTGAAAATAATTCTTATTTGAACTGTCAAAATAATTATGTAGAATTCAAATTAGTTGTTAGAATTCTTCGTAAAAATTTATGCATTTTTTTTAGCAGTTGGTAAACAGTTATACTATAACTTTATTTAGTAAAAAAATTCAGCGATCGAAAATATCGAGTAGTACCGCGAAAAAGAGACTGCAGAATCTCAACAACAATGCTCTTTGCCCCCTTTTATGTATTCAAAAGTCAAGTATGATTCCTACTTACGTACCATCCGACATACCAAGGCGTCGTTCCCTTTTCCATCATGGCTCGATCGGCGCTCATGTCGAAAACATCCTGCAGACTCCGAAATTCCGTTTTGTATGGGAAAAACTGGCAATTCGCTTCCTCTCCGTGATAGAGCGTTTTGAAAAACGAAAAGGAGAACACTGTAGATGCTGTCCAATTTGTCATTGCGTCGCTTATCACTACTGGCTTCCCTGAATACGCGTAGCTGATTACAAGTAAAATAGAGAGATATTGAATTATTAAGCTCGTATGGATATATTATTGCTAAACGCGCCGCGGGTAAGTAAATAATTTAATTACAAACGGAAGTCGTTTAACAAATAATGATTGTGATAAATTAATTTCTACACGAAAAGAACAGTTTTTTACCGAAGTACTTAAAAATTTTAGCTATAGATATAAATTTAAAAATAATTTTGTTAAACTCAAAATAATTATATATGACACTCAAGCTGATTGTTAGAATGTTAAAACTTTTAGCAATGTTGATCATTGTTAGTTTCCTACTATAATTATTTTAGTAGCTAAACAAAATTATTTTTGGATACACACAATATGTAGAAAAAAAATTATTCCTTCAAAACTATTTAATTAAATTATATTTTTTAATAGCAACTAAATGTTATTATGTTATATAAGTAGGAACTTAATTGTTTCTGAAAAATATATTTTTCTAGTTTATAAAAAATAAAAATATTTGTTTAATAATTAACTGAACAATTTAATTCGTACAAAATTAATTTTGTTTGGTACATTTTAAAAATTTTTGTTACCATAAAATTTTGATCAAAGTTTTTTCTACTGTAACTAAATTTCCAGATACTTGAGCAAAATTATTCTTTCTGCGTATAAAGATTAAGTTCTTTTCTTTTAAATAGTAAGAGAAATAAATTAATTCTTTAGACATTTTATTATTAACGGTGTTAAGTGAAGAAATTTATTAGTAATATATAAGCAAATATTTTTTTATAAATGATATTTAAGATGGGAATTGATTTAATTATATTTCAGTATTATTACAATAAATAACGAGATTAATAATATATTAGATTTTTACGAATAATAGTTGAGACATAACTTTAATCTTTTTTGAAAAATAAGGATAATTTTCATTGTAAATAAATTAATTGGGAATAAATGAATTTTTGTTATTGAGCGACGTTTCGAAATGGAAGAATACCGCGCATGAATTACTGAGTTAACAATACGCGGTTTAATACCGTTGTTCAAAGATCGTTGGATCGACAGCGGAGAGTTTGTCAACCTGTTGAATATCCTGGCAGATCGAACAGTCTTGGGGCGGTCGGAAAAGTTTTTGCACAAACGAGGGCGTCGTTATCCAACACTGGAACAATGTTTCACAGTTATTCGATTCACTCGAAAACATGACTCGTAACAGAGTGCAATTAATATTTCTAGCAAACATTAATTCTCCTTAAATTTTGATTGGAGCTTTTTATTTTTAATCGCGATTTTGTTCGACTCAACTTCTTTCGTCTTTTTGTCGTCTTAAATATGATTATTAATTTACCTAGCTAAGTAAAAATAATCTACGACATGCGATCTGTTATATCATATGACGTCTAATCGAGAGATTAATATAGACTCGCATTGAAGGAGAGATACAGCCTTGGCCATAAGTATAAATCACCTCGAAAAACTGACATAGACGTTTTAATGTCGTCTAATGGAAAGTAAATCAAAAAGTAGTTTTAATGAAAAATAATATTTGTTTTTACCACATTATATAATATTTTTATAACATCAATATGTTTAGTTCTGATTTGGCTTTTATTACGGCCAGTACTCTTTTGAGGGAATAAATTGAAGGTACTTTATACTTATGACCGAGGCTGTATGTATCGCATTGAAATAGAAATAGAAATAGATGAATTATTAGACAACGTGAAATTTGCATCTCACCTTACTATGTCGATACGCTAGCACGTACGTCCACGCGACTTGCACCACAATCCACGTGGCGATCAGCAACAAGAGCCACAGGTGCCTTGTGCGGACTTTTATCAATTTCGTTGGTCGCAGTCGCGAACGAGCACGAAGCATCCGCCAGGCTTTAATTGGAAGTCTCAAGTCTTCTATTTTGTCCAATATCGCGCTCAGCTCCTTCCGCGCGAAGTCCATGGATTTTTTCGAAGTATCCGCGGCGATCGCGTTGTCATTCGTCATAACGTGAATATTTCGAAAGAATTAACGATCTGTTTCCTTCTTTCTTCTCTCGTAGATTCTTAAATCTTAATTCTTATTGACTTAACGAATTAATGTGTGATTAATTGATATTAGTTTTGTAATATAAAATCTGTCTAATTTGTAATTAATTATTCGCAGTATGATGACCCAATTAATTTGTTAATTTTCGAACTAAGTTATTGTTTGCTTTGTTGCTTCAGAAATGAGTTGAAATCGATATGAATGTTGAATGTTGGTATCACGCTAAATTTGTTGCAAATTAAATCTCTCTCTTTTATAAATAACGCAATCGCAGCGATTACTATTATTGTGTATTCCGATGGCACTAGTAGTCCCTGATGGCCAGCGTAAAACTGGGACGCTATCCTTACCTGCTGCTCCAGCGAGCCAAGCTCCCCTCTCGCATTCGCCTCGTATGGGGGTGGAATGGCAACGGGTTCACGGGGGTGTGAAACGAAAATCAGTGCCCACCGATGCGAGTTGCCGATTGGTTTCGATCGAATCAGTTTGACGCAATAGAAAGTGGATTATTTCCCAAATGTTTAACTTCTCTCTTTATCTCTGTCGCTCTCTTTCATTCAATTTCCTCTTTTTCCATGGAAATTCCCGGATAATTTTTATTGGAGATTCTTAAACCTATGATCTCTCAATGTTAAAAATACTTGTCGCTCTTGTTTCGTTTCATCTGCATAATATCGAAATAAAAAAAATATAAATTCAATTTAGGAGAAAATAGAAAGACGATTAAAAACAATAGTTGAAAGATACAATAATTTAAATTGTAATCGAAGGGAGGGGAGAGAGAGAGAGAAAGAGAGAGAGAGAGAGAGAGAGAGAGAGAGAGAGAGATCAAGTTTGTAAAGAAGGGAACCGATTAATTAATATTGGTATTGTGCCGCATGAGCGCGCAAAATTTATATAAAAAGTAAGAAAATAAAGAAAGAGATTTTAAGTCTCTAGGAATTATGGGATAAATTTTCCACTTTTCCGTTTCACGGGGAATGTGATGTGGGCGACGCCTCTTATCTCGGGTTGCAGCTGGCCCCGCTCATCGAAGTGTATAGACTTCGTCGACTTAAAATACGATTGACCTACTTCATATTATTTCTTATACTTCGCAACCTATACCCGAACGACGCAGAATTTTCCCTTCTTGGGAAGAAATTACGCGAGAGGAACGTTTATGTTCCACTTTTTTTAGGAAAATATTTAATCAGAAAAAAATGTGTCTGTTTAAAAAATATATATTTATGCAGTAAAGGAATATTTTTATATAGTAAAGGAAAATAAGGATATATTAGGAGTACAGTCTTTGCAAAAAGTGATAAATTGGAATTTTATACTTTCCATGTAAAAATATAAGTTTTATATACAATATAAAATAGTTCAGCAAATCAATAATTTCAGTTAACAAAATAATTTTATAATTTAAATAAAAATTTTCTCATTAAATCTTAATTATTTCTAAAAAAAACTAATCTACTTCCTATGTCCATTTCTAACAACATAGATTAACTTTAATTTTAGTTTAATTTATTCTTTATAATTTTCTGTAATTCTTAGAACTAGAAAAAGATAAATAGTAAGCTAAACCAAGATTAAAGTTAATCTAAATTGGTAAGCACTATTGAAATAATTTTTGATCCAAATTTTAAATCGCCGCCAAGCTTTTTTTTATTACTTTCAAATATAACATAGAAGAAATCTGAAACTTTTTTTGTTAAAAAGTACTTGTAATGAATTAGAAAATAACATTTAAATTGCTTTTAATAAAACAAATCATTGATATACTTAGGGAGAATTTGCTTAAATCTGTAATTTCGATTTAAAGATGTTTATAATGCCTTTGGCGGAATATAAATAGCGATGACATAAAATACGCTAAATATCACATAATTTTATTTGATCATCTTTCAGAAGGCAAACCACCAAGAATATCTTTGCTATGACAATTTTTTTTGATTGGCTGTTTGGAATCACTATTAAGATTCTTGACTACTCAGCATGGAAGTTCAGATTGATGACGTCAGAAGCGAGAAAACACATAATGAAAATTATCGCGAAAAGTATTAAAATAGAAATATTTTTCAATTAAACAATATTTGCATTTCATAAAATACACTTGTAAAATATACCGAAAAACTCTCCCTTTATTTCGGAATAGAATAAAATCATATTTGTCTCAATTTGACAGTTGTCATGTAGCTTGTTTTGTTTTCTGGTTAGGTATAATTCAATTTTATATAAATATGCGTTATTTATTGATTACCGGAACACGAGGGAAGTTTTTTAGTAAATATATATTTTACAAATTATTTTATCAATTGCAAATGTTGTTTCATTACAAAATACTCATTTTTAAATATAATTTTCTTTATGTATTTTTCTCGTTTCTTCAGTGAATAAGCAGGGCAAAAATTGTAGATTACATTTCTGATTACATTAATTTTAATAATAATCTTGTGTCTTAATTAACTCCTTCATTTACTCTTTTTTTTTCCAATCTTAAGAACTCGAAGAATTAAAAGAGGACGATTTAAGCAAAAGTCGAAATTAAATTAAACTCTGTTTTCGCGCGCGTGATATATATTTTTATTGCGGTTTTTAATCCAGTAAACGAATTTCATCGTGAATTTTTTTTCAATTCACGTTAGGACATCCTCGAAGTTTTTTACGAAACACCTCGTAGCTCCGACTGTCAGTCCGGACACACACACTTCGTTGAAACTTTTCTTCGAAATTCGTTTTTCCGCGCGTGGAAGCGGCACTTGCGAAACAATTTCGATGCGATTGGAAACGTGCGAGCGAGATTCGCTCGGGCGATACGCGAACGAGATTACGCGCGAGGAACGGATTTTACAATTGCAAATTGTCAATCCGCACGGCAATCCACGTCTTAATTAACAATTAGCCTCGCGCCGAACCGGGTTTCGTTCCGTGTGAGTTCGCCTTTTATGGAATAAAACCGCGCGCATCTGCCCTTACGTTCCTTCGTTTCCTCTCTTTTTTCACCCCCATCTCTCTCTTTTTTCGTGCAAAAAGCGCGCGACCGGCGAATCTCGCACGCGAATCTCGTTATCTCGGCGACGAGGCGTACTCTTTCAGACACGCAATAAAATCGCAATCGAAGAGACGAAAAGTCAAAAAATGCGATTACGTGCCCGTTAGGAGCTTTAATCCCTTGAACTGCGCGTCCCTTCGGTTTCTGATTCAACGAAAAATATATATTTCTACAACGAGTCTTCATTATTTAAATACACAAGTCTATGACAATTTTTTTTTAATTATTTTACGCTACATTTTATTTCTTTATCTGAGAGCTGAAAACGTTTTCCATTCTTTCGCGTATCCGTCATCGATTAAAATTAAAACCGGCATCTTTTTTTAATTACCGGAACATATATATTTAGAAAATATGAGGAATAAAATATTAAATGTATTTAGACAAATCCCAAATAAAATTTGATAAATTTTATATATATTTAAAAAAAAGAATGAAGAGTGAAAATGAGAACTAACGAGAGTAAGTGATGAGAGCTAATTAATTTGTGTAAAAATGATCTTAATACAAAATACTTACAATTGGTTGAACGTTTGGAATCTTCTCTGAATCATTCTCAGCAGTGATTTATAAATCAAATCAGGTCAAATTGACTCAAAGCGAAGCTGAAATGTTTAACTAGGCATTTGGATGAAGACCATTTTTACACAAGTCAATTAGACCTCCAATTACCTATACTCTCATTAGTCCTCGTTTTTACGCATTTTTTTTATATTTTCGAGAATCTTTCAGAGTTTTTTTTTTATAAAGTATATAAATCTTGGTTGGTTCATTTAAATTGAAGCTCTTGAATATTTCATTTATCTTTGATGATGCGAAGAAATGTTTCAGATAAAAATGGAACGGTTTGAGGGAGACGTATTTTGCTCATATTTTTTTTAAGTAGAAGCGTCAAAAAGATATGAAAATCACTTTTCCTTTTGAATGAAATTATATGATTTTTTAAATACATCCTCCTCGAAAACGTTCCATTTTCATCTGAAATACTTTTTCGTATCATTAAAAATAAATGACATATTCAAGGTTTTTAATTTAAGTAAATCACCTTGTATATCTTTCTTTTCCGTTTAATATTTCATAAACATACGTATTGTTGTTTACTCGTAGACACTCTGGGCCTTTTCTGTCCAACCCAAATTTTATTTACTGTATTCTAGGCTTTCAAAAAATTTAGAAACATTCACTTTTTGACATCTCTGCTACATTGCCACACACAAATAATTATTTAATTCAAATGTTAAAACCTTTATTTAATAAAAATTGAAATTTGTGTCAAGAAATTAAAAAATTTCATCTAAATAAAAAAAGACTCAGACTGCCTACGAAGGATTAATGATGAGCAATGTGGAGACTGGAGAAAAGGATTCGAAGGATAAAAAGACACACGCACGTGTCAGCGCAATTTAATTCTTTAATTGTTTTCAGTCGGATTCGAAATACACTAGTCGATCTTTATTATAATTATTATCGTATATACGTGGTACTCTTTCGAGAGATATAAACAATACATAATACAACGATGAAATAATGACAATACGCCTTCTTTGTAACCGTCTTAAAAATTATACATACATACAGTCCGTCAGTGAGAACCGCACTCGCAATTGAATCGTGTGTGAAACACATGTGAGTTAAATGAAAGCGACGATTTTTATCCCCAACGAGTTTTTTCCGGGGGATGAGAGGGAGAGGTTCGCTTGTCCTTGTATCTTTTTTTTTTTATTCTCTGCGGTGAAGACTTTCCTGCTTCGTTATCAGAGGCGTAAAGTTGCGCCAGCAGTTCGCGCTGGAAATCGAATAATGATAACGATAGAGCGATTCTTGACGATCGAGCATCCTGATTGTGGCGTCTGAAAACTTATCGACAATCAGAAGACATCGTCGTCTTAACGATCCTAAGAAATATATTCACTATTATACAAGAACTACGAAACACATGACTGTACACTTACGTTAATTAAAGTGCTCGAAATTATCGTCAACAAATATCACGCGTCCAAAAAGAATCGTAATATTTAGTTTCTTACAAAATGATGATTTTAGATTCTTTCGCTTAGGATTTTTGAAATCCTCGACTTCGAGTTCCCTCGACTTGCAATCATTAACTTTTCGAATCTAGATATTCCCAAACTCGCAAACTTTTAACTAATTGAGAAATTAAAAAATTTGTTATAATTAAGAAATTTTTAATCGTTTAATTAAAAAATTGTTTAATTTTGTCAATTAAGAAATTTTCAAGATACTAAAATTTCCGAATATTCATGAATCTACAAATTTTTTTAATCCTTTGATCGAGTTGCTTAAGTCGTGTTGCCATTCTTGACTTTAGGGATTTACGGACCCCCCACGTTTTAATCCTCGTTTCTTTAACAATTAATTAAATAACAATAACTCGTTGAACAGATTCTTTTTGAACAGCGGTGTACGTAACCCAAAATCTACAGCTATGGAAGATCCTAATCGTCGCAACACGCGATTGATCCTCTCCCTTCGCATCCCCTGCCATCATCGCCCTGTAAC